AGTAATTTACCTGAAACAAAAAACCCTAAAAAAAAAAAAAAAAAAAAGTGAACACACTAGATATTTGAGAATACTAGAGAGCTGACGACAACGTTTTATATGACAATGGTATTGGCTACCCAACAAAAAGCCCTCATCTTTGGAGCAGGTTGATGAATGGCTCCGGCTCTGCCTGCCTTTCCTGTAAGCAAGATGACGGCAACTAATATTTATCCACACCTTCAAAATCACGCTGGAGGGGGCGGAGAGGGAGGAGTTATACGGGAGCAAGACTGGCCCTGTGCGCGCAGGTCACTGTCAAAGAGTTAGCAACAATGTTCTACCCTGCCCTCCTCTCTATTTCTGCAGCTTGAAAACGCCTTCTTAGGGGACCAGCAGTTAGCGTAATGTCTATGTTGCTGGACTCCCATGTAGTTGACCGCGGTTCGAGTCCCGGACCTGGTGGCTTAAAACTCACGCTGGGCGCTTGTGCGTGCATGCCCAAGATCCCGAGAGGAGAATGGAGGAGAAGGGACTGCAGCATGGCCATCCCCCCGGGGGGTGATTTCTTCTCCTCCCCCTTTTTTCGTGAGTGCCCCCTCCAAAAAAAAAAAAAAAAAAAAAAACGCCATCTTGGGAGCCTCTGACTTTTCTAAGCAAGCCCAGCCGAGTCCCCAGCCTGTGCTCCGACCTCTGTCTTGAGTCGAGCTGCAGCCCACAGGGAGTTCTAGCCCTCCTGCCAGCGTGCCAAGCTCCCAAGCACACGGTGCTCTCTGAGACGCCCTTCCTCCTCCAGGACGTGAGCACTGGCACCGCATGACCTGGTTCAGATTCAGGACCTGTGAGCGGAGCAGTTCAACACCCTGCGCCTCCCTCTCTCCGTTTGCACATGCTATCGCCGGCAAGAATGTACTCGCCTGGTTATTCTAACGTGAAGCTGCCTCTGCCACACAGCAACTGCTCCGGGCACACTACCTGCTATGAGTTTTCACTTGCTATTGTTATTCTCCAGCTGGCAAAATTCTCCCTTTTTGGAGAGGTTTTTGCTATAGAGCGCATGCACTTGTCAGAAAGACAGAGAGAGAGAGAGACAGAAAGCAAGAAATCAGGCCCCAGGGGGGATGGCCACACCACAACCCCTTCTCCTCCATTCTCCTCTCGAGATCTTGCGCACGCACGCACACATGCCCGTTGTGAGTTTAAGTCACCAGGTCTGGGACTCAAACCACGGTCGGCTACATGGGAGTCCAGCAACATAGCCATGATGCCATCTGCTGGTCCCAAATTCTCCTTTTTCAAGGCCCAGTTTAAACACCACTCCTCAGGAACCCCTTTCCCACTGTGAGAGTGAGCGAGTCCTTGGGCCTCCCTGGAGCAGGTCTAAACCCTGAGCTAGAACACAGGCTCAGCATCGGGTTTACTGTCACAGCCTCTGCTGTGGATCTCGCACCAATTCCTTCCCTGCGTTTCCCCAACTGTGGAGCCCAAACGAGGGTGAGACCCAGCTTGGCTTTGGGGTTCCAGGTACCGTGAATGTCCCGCCTCCAGGTCAGGGTTAAACCTTCAATAAATCCTTGCTTAACTATTTGTCTGCCGATTGAACAGCAGCAACAAGAAAGGAACTTGTGGCAAGGTATGTTTTCTTAGGTTTCAACCAACTGAAATCAATTCCTGTCCCCCCTGAAAAAAAATTAAAAAGAACACACAAATTAGATTTTGCTCTTTCAGCTTTCGGAGACAAAATCCCTCCGTTGATTCAAAGTCACTAAAACAAGCCCTTGCTTCCCACAAGAAAATCCACAGTCCCCATTTTATAGGTCACTAAAAAGTGCCCCACTGGTGACTGCGGGGCCGCAGGGACCACCTTGTCCTGTGCAGCTATTGGGGTTAATTGCAGGAAACCTAAACAGTGTTAAGTGTGCAAGCTGAGAGCATAAACTTATTTAAAAGAAGAAAGCGTCTGTTATTACCAACCGGCTCTTGTTACCCATCTCCCACGGCTCTTTGGTGGGCAATTAACAAAGCTCCTACTTCCTCTGCACTCTCCTGCTTCCCGGAGCTGGCGCTGAAGAAGGGACGAGGCAGATCTCGGCGATTTACTGCCCTCGCAATTCCTTTACAGTCACAAAGCAGCTGAACTCAGACGCATCCTGGCCGGACTGGATCAAATGCTACCAGCCGGCAGGCAGTCTTCCTCAGGCATTTGATCCTGGGTCAACGTGAGCAAATTCAGTTGAGAGGGAGTGACTGCCTCAGCTGCTCTAGTAGGGGAACTTTCAGGGATTATTTTTGTTTTAAAGAACCAGTTGTGATAGGGACCAGCAGTTGGCATAATGGCTATGTCGCTGGACTCCCAAGTAGTCGACCACGGTTCGAGTCCTGGACCCGGTGATTTAAACTCACGCCCAGCATATGTGCATACATGCTTAAGATCCCGAGAAGAGGATGGAGGAAAAGGGATTGCAATGTGGCCATCCCCCCCTGGGGGGCGATTTCTCGCTTTCTGTCTGTCTCTCTGTCTCTGTCTGTCTGGTGAGTGCACGCACCTTATAGCAAAAGCCTCTCAAAAAAATAAATAAATAAATAAATAAATAAATAAATAAACAACCAGAACTAGTTGTCAGGCAGCAGGTGGTGTGGTTAAGGTGCTGGACTCCCACCTGGACCTAGCAGCTTGCTTTGCCACATTTGCTTTCTGTCTCTCTGGTCAAATTAAAAATAATAATAAAATAATAAAATAATTCTTAAAAAAAAAAAAGAACTAGTTGCAAAGGATCCCCGGACCTGCCTAAAGAGAGAGCTGACGACATCGCATTCTCAGCCTTGTTCTCCCCCTCGCTTTGCCTGCTCTGGGGCTGGGCTGACCTCCAGTGGGCATTCAGCTGTCCTAGTCCAGAGTTCAGACCCAGGAGGACTCTCGCGCGATGCCTCCTGCCAGGACCACTGGGGTCTTCCTCGGGGCGATCCCCACTCTCTCCTTTCCTGGCCTCAGTCCTTCGCACAGAGATTCAGACAGAAAACGCGCTCAGTGGACACCACAGAAGCGAGCTGCCGACCCGGGTCTGGGCCTGTATCGAACACGAAGGTTTAAACGTTTATATACCTGGGTAATGTGGAGGAACGTTTTTTAAGCCTGAAAGTTTCTTCAGAAATTCTCACAATCACACTCATTTCTACACAAAGGCTGTTTCTGGGGCTACATCTGAACTATTGATAGATCCTTTCCTGTCCCCTGCCAGCTCAGTTCTCCTCCAAAGGAGATGCCATGCCAGGGAAAGGGCTAGACCCCATATCTGCAGACCGCAGGAAGGCAGAGCACATGTGGAGACCTCTCCAACGAGCAGCCCTAGCCCGTGGGCAGACACAGGACTGGAACCAGAATTCTGGGCCCTCTGTGCAAACCCCAGGCCTCCCGCTGTCTTGCTCCACAAGCCGGGAGTACACCAAGCGGGGACCTGGCCCCTGTGGTGAGCTCAGAGCAAATGGAGGCAGTCTCTGCAAGGCTCAGCCACGACTCCTCACTGACGTCAGGGAGTTGGTGGGCCGGCGATTATTCGAGAGACCAGAGGCTGGCAGTCCCAATGGCTGGAAGGGACGGCCATGGCTCTCCACCCCGACCTTGACCCCAGGGTGAGACCGGCCAGTGTGGTAACCAAAGGGTAGAACTTGGAGCCAGCTCCCGTTTGAGTTTGGGTCTGGCTCTGTTTCGCTCAGGGCCAGTCCACCAGTGAAACTGGACAACAGCCGGAGAGAGCCAGAGGGGGTCCCTGCAGGCGCGGACACACGCTCAGTCTCATTCCCTCCGCCCCGCGTCCGCTGGTTTCTGAGCATGCCCAGGACACGGCGCGCACCCCATTCCGACAGGGTGGGCACTTAGTAGTATTTCATACGTGTATTCCTCGGATGCCCCTAAGTCGTGGGTCCCACAGGGAGGCAGGTTTTCACACAAACATCATTTGCATTCCAGCACTCAAAAAAGATGTTTACTGGGAAACGAGACATGTCTAAGAAGAGGTCCCACCATGGACAAAGGCCTCCTGGTCCCTGCCCCCCAACCGCAGTCGGCGCCACAGAGAAGGCAAAGGGCACCTCACCGAGCAGCGCGTTGTGGCCGTTGTCATCTGGCAAGAACCTCTTGTCCACGGCGCACACCAGGAGGTGGTCCGGCAGGCTGGGGGACTTGGCGCCCACGAGGAGGAAGCCAGCAGGGACATCGATGGGCTCGTTGGAAACGGAGACAAGGCGCAGGTCCTTCCCGGCCTGGCAGAATCCTGGGGGACAGGGAGAGGAGGCTCACACTCTGCCCAGGGCCTTCCTGGACAGGCCGCAGGGCAGGGGGAGTGCGCGTCCCAGGGCTGTCGGCAACTGCCCAGACCTCTGGGTGTGGGGGACTCAACTGTACTCAGAAGACGACGATCACAGCTGTGCGTGACACCTGAGCACGCAACTGTCTAAGCACTGACGTCACCATGTAGCGAACCGCAATGGGCAGAGGAAGTGCGAGAGAAAAACATTTTAAACAAATGAAAACAATTTTCTAACAAGTTAAATTTTAAACAAGCTAAAAAAATTCTTGAACAAATTTTACAGCAATTTAAAATGTATACAAGGGGGACCGGTTGGTGGCGTGGCAGTTAAGGGCGCTGGGCTCCCACATGGCTGACTGTGGTTCGAGTCCCAGACCTGGCTCTCTCTTTCTCTCTCTGATCAAATTAAAATAAAATAAAGATAAAATAATTCTTAAAAAAAATATATTTAAATAAATAAATAAAATGTATACAAAGGAGCAAACAGGTGGCACGGTGGTTGAAGTGCTGAACTCCCACATGGCTGGCCACGGTTTGACTCCTGGTCCCAGTGGCTTGTTTTCTTACTTTCTTTCTCCCTCTCTCCATATCTCTCTCTGTTCAGACTAAAATATAATAAAATTTAATATATGTTTCTAAAAAATAATAATAATAAAATGCATCAAGAAGGCCAGCCAGTGGCATGGTGGTTAAGGCAGCTGGATCCCACATGGCCAACTGCACTGTTCAAGTCCTAGATCTGGAGGCTTAAGAAACACTGGGAACCAGCAGTTAGCGTAATGGCTATGTCGCTGGACTCCCACATAGTCAACCGCAGTTTGCGTCCTGGACCCGGTGGCTTAAAACTCACGCTGGGCACGTGTGCGTGCGTGCCCAAGATGCCGAGAGGAGAATGGAGGAGAAGGGATTGCGGCATGACCATCCCCTCTGGGGGGTGATTTCTCGCTTTCTGTCTCTCTGTCTCTCTCTGTTTGTCTGGCGAGCGCACACGCCCTACAGTGAAAATCTCTCAAAAAAAAAAAAAAAGAAAAGAAAAAAGAAACACTGAGCGTATGTGTGTGCATGTCCAAAATCCTGAAAGGAGAGAAAGGTGGAGGAGAAGGGATTGTGGCGTGGCCATCCCCAAGGTAGAAGGTGCTTTCTCCCTTTCCTTCCCTCCTTTTCTCTCTTTTTCTCCAAAGGGCACATGTGCCCTCCAGAAAACTTCCTAAAACGCGCATACAAGGTAAGTCCATAAGAACTCGGGCGTCATCTGATCATTTTACAGGCTGCATTTCCCATGACTGAGGAATAGGCTAACGGCCAGAGTAAGGCGTAAGAACCACATTCTCACCCCCCTAAGCCTTTACACAATCTGGACTTTTCCAGCTTCCCCCAACCCTATGACAGTCTCCTGGCTAATTCTTACTAACTCTCCAAAACCCAAATAAAGGACCGCCTCCTCCAGGAAGCCTTCCTGAAACTCTCCACCTACATCAGGAACCTTTCCTCTGCGCCCCTGCCCCTGCTTGCTCCCCAACTCCAGCACGGCCACACTGCGTGCAAAGTGCCTGCCTCCCCATTCGATGCCCCGCTAAGCCAGGGGCTCCCGTGCCATTTGCCTCTATTTCCAGAGTGAGGCTCAGTAATTACGATAATCAATTGTCGCTTCATTTAGGAGCCAGGGAACGGCTATGACTGGTGTGAGGACAAGGCTGATGGACTCACTGACAGAGGGGGCGGGTGCCGGCTAGTGAGTGGCCGAGCAGGGGTACCTGCGCCCCTCCAGGTGTGGGACACGAGGGTGTCCCTGGACTAAGCTGCCACTCATGTGGCCTCGCAGGGCCTCAGTTGCTGACCTCGTGGCGTTTCTGACATGCAAAGGGACTTCAAAAAGTTAGTGTAACAATGAATTAGAGCTGGAGTTTACTTTGGTGCAAAAGTGGTTCCAATCCATCCATGGGGTTTTAGAGGATTACTGGGGGAAAGGGCTAGTCTATATTACAAGCAAACATCCGAACCCACGTTCTTACATAGTACACAGTTCTCATGGGCTTTTTGAAGAGCCCCTCATAGTATGTATCTGCTCTTTCAACAATGAAGTTGTGAAAATTATTTCTGCTAATCAGTTCTGAGTTAGACAGGCCGTGCAAGCAGGCCTGAGTAGGGAAAAGGTACTCCAGCTTTCAGACCAGCCACACAGACGAGTGTTTGGGTCCCAAGGCCTCTGCAGAGCTGAGGCTGTCCAGAGCGGCCGAGGGGTGCGCCGACTTGGGGCACTCTAGCACAGCACATCAACCGCAGCAGGCCTGGGAGGGCGGGCACGGCCCACACCCAGGAGCATGGGGAGCAAAGAGGGCCACCTCCCCCCCAGGCACACCCAGCAGCAGGGCCATGGGCCTGGCGGGTCCCGGCTGGGTCCCTGCTGGGCAGTCTCACCATCTGTGGTGCAGCATCCTTCCGGGGGAGGGTGCAGCTGGTAGGGGTTTGGGAGACTGTTGGGCTCCAGCCCTCCTTCGCCCTCCTCCTCCTCTTCCTCATTGTCCACTCGGCTGCCACCTAGGAGCAGGAAAGAAGAGTAACTGCTTGGCTTTTGTTTTTTTTTTAAGAGATGTTTTGCCTTAGGGTGTGTGCACTCACCAGAGACAGACAAACAGCCCAATGAGAAGGAAAGTGAGAATCACCCCTCGTGGGGGATGGCCACACCAAAATCCCTTCTTCTGCATTCTCTTGGGATCTTGGGCATGCACACACACATGCTCAGTGTGAGTTTAAGCCACCGGGTCCAGGACTAGAACCGCAGCCAGCCATGTGGGAGCCCAGCGAGGTAACTGCGACGCCATCTGCTGGCCCCAAGAGTGACTATCAGTAAGGCTGCGGCCACAGGCCCTAGGGGCTTCCTCAGGGCCTTTCCTCCGACCTGGCGTTTGGGTTCCACAAGGGCACAGAGCGCAGGGACGAGCCCAGAATGAGGCCCACCAAGGGCAGCCAGTCTGAGCTGCTTAACTAACTAGTCTTCACGAACACTGGAAGCCAGGCGTTCTGGAGGGGAAGCCCAGGCTCGCTCAGGTCGGATGACTCTCTCGAGGTCACTGTGCAGACGGGCTCCGTGCCTGGTCTGGTGACTTCGCCTTCATGTTCACGTCTCCCCCATCCTCCACAACTGCACATGTCTGCACAGGGGCAAGGGGTTAACACATACAAGCCTTGACGCCTACTAACCCCCAAACCCAAATAAAAGACCACCTCCTCCAGGAAGCCTTCCTGAAATGACACCTGTGTTGGGACTAAGCATAAAGACGGTACATAGTAGGCGGTCAAAAAATATTTGCAGGGGACACACCGTGGTGAAATGTGTGGGCCACGTTACACGTAAGGAAATGAAGGCTCAGGGCACTCCAGCTGTGTCCCACCTCTCTTTCACCAGCAGACAGGTGGCACGGCCTGCATGTGCTCACTGAGTCTGAGGCCCAAGCTTTGGGTCTGCCCACGACACTGCACTGCTCAGAGTCCAGCCCCTGAGCCCATGAGCTGCTTTAAATAGTATGAAAGAGCTATAAAACTATGTGCTCATGGGGTCAGCAGGTGGTGGGGTGGCTAAGGCACTGGCCTCACTTAAGGTTCAAGTCCCGGACCCAGTGGCTTGAAAATCACTCCAGGTGTGAGCAAGTGTGTGCATGGCCAAAAGCCCAAGGGTAGACGGTAGAGAAGGGATTGTGGCACGGTCCTGCCCCAGGTGGGTGATTTCTCACTTCCCTGCTCTCTCTCTCCAGCAAGTGCATGTGCCCTATGGCATAAACTTGAAAAAAAAAAATATATATATATATAACTGCACACTTTTATCTGTCCCCAAGGGATACAAACATGTCCAAATGTTTTTTTCTCTTTCTCACACACAAGACAGGCATTCTGGAATGTCCCAGAGAGAGAGATGGAAAGTGAGAAAGCTTTCAGGACTTTGGGCACACACGTGTACGCACCAAGCGTGTTTCTGAGGCTGGCAACTCCCCGACTTGAACCATGCCATTGGTCATGTGCGATTTGGCTACCTTCGCCACCACACCGCAGGTTGGCCACACACACACACACACACACACACACACACACACACACACACGTATATGCATATAAACATGTATGTACATACACATATATATGTATGCATGTGTGTGTATGTATGTGTGTATGTAAATGTGAAAATGAGTTGCTTTTATCATGTTAGAAACAACTTTATGAAATTAGTCTCATCTCCTTGTGAGAAATTGCTTTGAAGAGGTGGGAAAACAGCTCCTACGTGGCCCGGCGGATGGCGTAATGGCTACGTCGCTGGACTCCCAGCTGACTGGGATTTGAGTCCCAGACCCAGCAGCTTAAAACTCAGGCCGGACGCATGTGCGTGCGTGCCCAAGGTCCTGAGAGGACAACGAAGGAGAAGGGCTTGTGCGTGGCCATCCCCCCTGGGGGGGGGATTTCTTGCTTTCTGTCTCTCCGTTCCTCTCTGTCTATGTGGTGAACACATGCAACTTATAGCAAAAATCTCTAAAAAAAGAAAAAAGATAAAAAGAAAATAGCTACTCCAGTGAAAATGGAGTGCTAGACTAAGATCTACTTCTAGACTAAGATCTTGCTATCTCAGAAGGCATCAGAGAGCAGCCTGCTGGCTTCGGCGAGTGGGCAAGCATAGCCGGGTCCTGCAGCGACATGTGGTTATTAAGGCTGGACTGTCCATCCCACTCACACTAAGCCTTTCCGACAGCCGTTTCCTGCCTCCGCAATCCCACCTCGTCTAGGATGAAGACCTTTAACCGAGATCCTTGGGGTGAAAATCTGTCTCAACGTGGCTACCTTTACCTGCCCTTAGTGGCTCCTTCCTGGAATGGGTCACGATGGATTGTGACCGTCCTCAAACATACAGTGCCAAGGTCCGGTCATTTCCTCCTGTGCTTCTGTTCCCTCTCTCAGTGCTGGTTTCTTCACTGTCCCACCTCGCACACGCCACTCACTCGGCTCTCACACCCCCAGCCACCCAGTGGGCGAAGCCGGTTCAGGGTAACGCTGCATCACGGGCAGTGGAAGAACTGGACTCAGGGACTCGAGTTGCAGCACTCGGGTCGGTCACTGTGTGAGTGCAGAGAAGTCCCTTAACCTTTCTGTTCCCCAGATCCTGCATCAGGTCTTTAAAATGAGGTGGTTAAGCCAGACGATCCCGAGGGTCACTCTGCGCTACGATGGCCTGGAGGGAAAACACGGCCCTCACAGGCGCATGAACGCTCAGGTTCCGAGGTACTGCAGAACCTCCCAGTGGCCACCACATTGAAGGCGCCTGTGGGACAAGAGGCAGAGGTGACGTTTCAGGCAGCTGGGCCATGACCTTGGGAAGGTCACAGCAGGAAGTGAAGCGAGAATCCTGGAGCCTCAGTCCTTCTGGGCCTGGGGCATACAGAGGGGCTGGGCAGACTGTGGGGGAGGAGGGACAGGAGGAGGGACAGGACTCTCAGGCCTCTTCCTGCCATTAAAAGCGGCATGAGTGGCTTTCGCCGAAAGGGGAGTTGG